ATAATGATTTGAATAAAATGATTTGATTTGAAAATCAACCCACACTATTAGATATCAGAAGTTATAATCTATAATATACTATCTATATAAATTTTACTACATATTACTAGTGCAATGCTTGTACAAAATCAGTTTTTGTTGGTCTGGTATGTTTGAGTTTCTGAATAGCCTAGGCTACTATTACACAGGAGCCTAAACTCTGAGAAAACGATTACATTAAGCGCACCAGAATAAAATGTAGCAGGACATCGGACTAACGGTTCGAGAGATATTCGATTCGAACAGACACAGACAGACGTTCTTGTGATTAGATAGATAGCTAGATAGCCTTACTATATATATATACCAATATTCCATTATTATCCAGCACAAGAATTTAGTGCCCATTCAAAAAGCCAGAACATATTCATCTTTACTTTATTACAGTTTATTATGGTTATAAGACAAGTATATGACAACTGGGAAATAAAAAGATTTAATACAAACGGCTATGACAAAATGATATACTGTACATGTAACTACCAAAAACATTTAAATGTATTTTGAGAGTTTTCAAAGTTGCCGTCAAGCCCATGTGTAAAGCCCAAGAAACGGTAACAGTTTTAAACAGAAAAGGCCCTGTGTGTGCAGTCCAGGTCACGCAATGAACTTTGGCACCAGAAGGACGATGAAGCCAGAATCACTGAAACTGATTCATTGTTGTCGAGTTTCCCTTACACTGTGATTCAGATCTCTGAATCAGCTTTTTCAAGTACTGCCCTCTTCTCAGAGCAGAAGGTTTGCGGCGCCACGCGCATCAGCGCTGGACGTGCCGGACGAAGGCTTGGACCAGCTGGATGAAGGGCTCCTGGCCCTCCGGCGTGCCCTTGGATCCTGGTGCGGGTGGTTTGGTTTGTGGTGAGGGAAGCAGCCCGCTCGCTGGGGAGGAAGGGGAACCTCGGCGGAAAAAACGGAATAATGTGGACAATAGTGTACTCTGAAAGAAACAGAAGAGACCAGATGGAATGGACTGAACAGAGGGGTCAAATATCTTCAGCAAATAGGTCAAAAACACTGTAGAAAAGCATTGTTCACATTCAGCCAGGATTCATTTATTCTTTTTTAATAGGCTATATATATATATATATATATATATATATAAATACCGGTATATATAAAGATCTAATGTATATATTTTGGGGAAAATACTGTGTTAATTTAAGATTATTTTTCACAGCAAGTGATTAGTAGATTGTAAAAAAAAAAAAAAAACCAAATAAAAAGAACATTTTGCTTTTTGTTTTTTCAAGTAAGACTGAAGACCTACTGTATTTTTGAGGACTATTTTACACTGTGACACTTTAGTGAAAATGTATTGGCCTTTAATTAATGCTGATCATAACTTGATGGAAAATAAGGGGAAAACAATACAAACAGGATAATTATGGTTTTACAGTAATAACAATAACCCACAAATTTAAATAAATACATAATAAAGCAGAAAAATAAAGGCATGGGGGGGTTGATTCATTGGAAATGTCACAAAACAAAAAAAATCTTTATTGTTTAGAAAATTAGATTTTTGATGTCAAATTAATTTTACTTTTATTTAAATAACAAATAAATAAAAGGGTATATGTAGGGAAAAAGATAATTAATTGAAAATGTCACAAAACGAAAATGTAATATTTTTTTATTAAGTAATTGTGGTGAATAACTCACCAGCTCTGAGCTGAGCTCCTGTTTAAGTCTCTGTTTGTCTCGGGGCAAAAACTGAAGGATCCTTCAGACAACGGACAGCCTGAGAGATCAACACGTAGAAGCAGTTCTCCATGGAGAACATCAGCAAAGACCTGGAAGCAGAGGCCGAGAGATGATGAGATGCGGTCCGACTGAAGAACCATACGCACACAGACAGCATCACAGGCGTTTCCTGCTCACTTTAGTGCTTGTGTGTCCTCAGAGGAGACAACCGGCTCTTTCTTCTTCTCAATCTAAACAGAAAACAATTCAAATCACCAATTAAATAAACATGACGATCTACAAGAGACGAAAAGGGGAAAAAGTGCAGCACTACCTCTCCCAGCATGCTCAGCGCCACATTAATAGTGGCCATCAGAGTGCCAAACGACGGCCGCCACATCGGAGTCAAACGCAGGGAGTGGTGAAACTTCAACACAAACAGAGTCCTGTACTCCGCAAGGTCCATAGACTAAAACACACACACAATAAAACATGAATATGAATGAATATTTCTGCATGATTATGAATGTGTGTGTGTGTGTACCTGGTCCAGTAATATCTGACAGCAGTCGGGCGTGAAGTGCTGTAACGTGGCCAGTGTTTTACTGAGGATCTTTAACAGGCTGCACTGCACCGCCTGCAGGGCTTTAGACTCCGCCTCTTCTCTCTCGCCCTCCACCTGCTCTTTAGAGGCGGGCTGAGCGGCACGCTGGGGGTGTGGCCCCTGAGGAAGCCCCTCCCCATTCTTAACCTGGCCAAACACACACATATTAAAGCAATCACATTCAGCGCAGACAGAGTCAAGTCACCTTGATTTATATAGCGCTTTTAACAATATAGATCGTTTCAAAGCAGCTTCACAGTGATAATAGGACAGAGAGTAACAGAGAATATTCTAGAAACAGTAACAATAGAAACAGAATATTCAAGTTATTGTCCAGCACAGACACTAAGGCCTTGTCTACACTTGTCTGATATGTGTTTGTTTAAAAACACATACTTTTCTCTCAGTTTAAGCCTTCCGTTCACACCGAGACGAGCTAAGCTTTTTGAAAACGCGCTCCAAAGTAGATGCATTAGAAACCTCTGTTTTCGCATTGTAGTTTGAACTGTGAAACTGGAATTATTTGAAAACGATGACCAGTTTAGTCATGTGACGCATGTTGAACCTATTGAAATTCATGTTTATACTGTATTGTGCCAGTTATGTGCAATTCACTTTCGCACCGTTGCTAAAATATGTCCTTTGTACACTCTTCATGTCACAGTCCTGCAAAGATGACTGAAAATGTACTCACAAACGGGACGCTCAGTGGATGGGGAGATAGTTTGCTAAATAAAATGATCCTGCCAGGAAAATTGCGTGATAACTTGATAAAATCTTGTTCCGTCTGTATCACCTCAGTGAGCTTTTATGAGGGTTATGCATGCGCAGTAAGGTGAATTTAGCATTAGCAAAACGCTAATGTAGATGGAGAGAGCATTTTGAAACGACAACTAAACCTTCAAATCTATCCGGATTATTAATGCAGACATAGCCTAAAGATCATCCGTGTTTCGCTTCTTCCTGTCTCATACCTGCAGGTAATGGTGCAGCATCTTCTTGCTGTGAAGGAGGTACGTACACGTCTGACACAGATAGCACAGATTCACCTGAAACACACGCACACATGAATCATTACTGTCATGTAGACCAGGGGATCACAAACAAGGCCCTGGGACATAAAACCTCAGGGGGTAGTTAAGTATTTATTTCAGTTAATATTTCAATAATTTAAAAACACAATTGTACAATTCTCTGATGTCTAATGTTTACAAATAAACCGACAAAATCAGTGTTCAATTGATTGTTTTTTTCTATTATATGTACAGTATGGGGCTGTATGGGCTGTTTTTTTTTCATATAGACATGTCATTAAAAACTGTCTCATATTTCGACTACACGATTTCCAGTGGCAGTGTAGTCTTTATTCTTAGTAGTTACTTTTTAGGGTGTTCACACTTTCATAGGAACTAAATAACATGACAAGTTACAATTCATATTATTATTAAAATTAATTTTATTATTATTAAAATATTATTATTCACTTAAAAAAAAGTTCAAATTCTTGAACTTGTAACACAAAAACGTTAGAAATTATGCAAATGTAAATAAAATGCCTAAATGCATGTTAAACACTATTTTACATTGAAAGCATGTAAATGAATAGTGTCAAGGGGGTCGCACACCGGACGAGAAGCGCCGCGCCCAGGACAACTCCAGGTGTCGCACACAGGGCGCACACATTCTAATCACGCGAGCTCAATTTTGAATCAACTCCTGGTAGAAGAACTGCACGATGTGCGAGTTTTAACTTGATTTATTTCTTTATTTTTTTTATGTTGATTGAATAATAGCTGATGTTTGAACGTTAATCAAGTAAAAGTGTATCACGTTAAGTCTGCTATTTTGTTGTAACGTTATCCCTTGTCTAGGCAACTATGTCACATAATACAATAGTATTTATTTAACTATCTTTTCATGGACTCACACACCCCCAGCTGTAGTGAAAGAGTAGTGATGGACTGTGTACCTGCACGTCTCTCAGCAGCTGCGGCAGGTGGAACTGCCACTCCTTGCAGAAGTTGGAGAGCTGGAGCAAGAAGCCCACCGTGTGATCGGCCTCATCCAGACACGCCAGAGACTGAACCGTCCTCACCGCATTCAGACACTACAACAACAGGAGAACAACTCAAATCACATCATTCTTATTAATCAACACTTTCAATGAGCAGTCATGTTGTCACGACAGAATAGGGCAGAACATTTTTTTTATCTGAATTGAAAAAATATTTTACACATCACGGTTGCATTGTTGTATTGCTAAATCATAATCGGTAAGAAAATAATGGGGGGGGGGGGTGTCTAGACAATACTAATTATCATATTTGTAAGACAGTACAGTACCTATCCTGTAGATGGGAAATAAAATGTTATTTTTTAATTATTATTACATTTGTAGATTGAGTAATAGAACAATAGATGAAAATAGACTTCACAACAACTTATAGAACAATAGATTCAATAGATAAAAAATATATTAAAAAAACTGATATAAATAGATAAAAAATGATTTAAAAATAAAATAAAATAAAAAACGATAAGATGGATAGAAAGAATGACCAAAAGAACGGTAGATAGAATGATAGAGAAATTTATAGACCGATAGACATATAGATCTATAGAAAGATACAGAGCCAGGGGCGATTCTAGGATTTTTTCAACTGGGGTGCACAAGAGGGGCCACAATAATTACAGAGGGGCCATTCTTATGTTGAGTATTTATGTAGAACTGTAGCTATCCAAATCATTTCAAGTTCAGTAAGCTTTAAAATCAGCAATAAACAGTGATACCCTGTTATCTTTTAATAGCAGTTATTTACTGCTCTAAATCAAAACAATAAAATACAATTTATATTAACTTTTCACTTTACAAAAGTGATAGAAAAACTGTAATAAATAAAATAATCCAATGTATTAGTGTCCAACAAATAATAATAGAATGGCCTTATTTATATAAATGCATAATTATATTAATCATTCATATAATAAATACACAATTAATGAATTCATAAAACTGTAATAAAATTGTATACATCTTTTTCCCCACATCCTATTCAATTTGCATTTCAGCAGTTGCAGTAAATTTGCATTGATGAATAGACCAAATCTGCTTATTTCGAGGAAGGCTAATTAGTCTTGAGCATATTGATTGTAAAATATCACATATAATACTTTGTTAGATAGCTACTTTTTCAAATTTCAGATTTAGTTTAACATAATATATGTGGATCATAGAAACAGTGAATTAATTATCCAGTAGTATTAATTATTTATTTTGCTATTTAATCATGCATTTTTATTTAATTATCTTTTTTTTTTTGAGAATGTTTCTGGATGCAGGGATTAAATTAAAAAAAATTCTTTTGACTGATTTTTTTTTTTTTTTAGGCCAAGTCATATTCCTGTAACTTTATTTAAATAGTCGAGACCAATAGCGTTTTAAGGAGAGATGTTTTAAACCGATCTAATATTGCCAGTTTGCGTAATTTGAAAGCTATTTTAATCTATGAAAAACAATTACTTATCTTGACAAATAGGCCTCAACCATCTACATAACTTTTCAGTGCATATTTTTATTTATCTTATAAGACCAAACAATGCTAACTGGCTGAGGGAAAAGTGAAGTTTCATAACTTTATATATTTAACTTTTAGGCTATTTAACTTTAACTTTGTATCCCATTAGACTAGAGAGCTGACTTATGTTTAACTGAATTGTTTACTTTATTTCTCATTGTATAGCTTATTACAGCCTACCTATTAGGCTACTTATACTTTTGAATGGGATATTATCATTAAAACTGACATTTAACAAAAGAGACAGGGTTGTGTAATTTTATATATTCTAAAATATATAAAATATTCTTTAAATGTGTATGTTTTTACTATACATTCTCTTCACTGTGTGTAATACAAAACGATACAACCCTGTCTGTTTGTTAATGTCAGTTTTAATGATCAATAATGTTTCACATTTTTAAAATGAAAACAAAAAGAAGCAGGGTTGTGTTTTATATTTCGTGTTATTTATATGCAGTGAAGATCAATGTGAGTTAAGGTTACCTGAACCACATTTTTGTGGCCATTAATATGTTTATGATAATATGTCCATTTATAAATGAAATGAGGCAGAGTGCTGTTTTATATGTATTTCGTTTTATTGTTGATGAAAAGAAGCAAAGTTGTGTTATACCATATAAGAGATAACCGGAGTAGCCGCGTGCTGACGCGAGAATGAAACGGACTCGCGTCCTCTCGTCCTCGGGAGTTCGTTCTCCGAAGTTTGCGTTCTTGGTATTGAAACGACCAATATTGACCCGCGTTCTGTTTTCTATCATACGACCGCAGCAAACGAGCAGTAGCCTGACACTTCTCAAAATCTACTAATTGAGTGAACATGGAGCAGTTTTCCCGTGAGCGGGAATTGAAAAACCGGAGTGGACCATGAGCGAAGTGATTACAGAATGCAAAGAGTGGAGAGAGGAACGTGCTTTCGTTCCACTCCAGGCTTTATCACATTCCCCTCAGCAGGGTGAATACACATCGTCTTTCCTTAAAAAAAAATAAGCTGTATAAAATATATCAACTTACCGTGTGGTTTTGAGAAGCATTGCGCGACATGAATTATTCTACTACAAGCTGAAAGATTATGATTTGAATTTTTGAGTGACAGACAATTAGAAGGGTGGGGGCACACTGGGGGGCCAATCAATTTTCAGGAGGGGCCAGTGCCCCCATGGCCCCTCCCCTGGCTACGCCACTGTACAGAGCAATAGATATAGAATGGATAAAGAGATATTAAGAAGCATTGACAGAATGGGAGTTTGAACAAGTAATATATATATATATATATATATATAATGTGAAATAGATAGAATGATAGATGATAGTACAACAGAGAGCAATAGATGAAACGATAGATAGATAGATGTCTCACAAACCTGAAGGATGCGCTCTTGGTGCACGCCCACAAAGTCGAGCGCCTCATTAATGAAGTTGTAACGGAGAGTTTTCAGCAGACTTTCCATCAGAGACAAACTCAATCTGTACACACCAGGCCAGCTGGGAGCGTCCTGAGACTTACGCACAAACGCCTGAGAGAGAGAGAGAGAGAGAGAGCAGGGCTTTAAGACAACCTCTAACTTTAGAACAATCAAGTTGAAGTCTTAGTTTAAGTCAGTACCTGAGAGGCTCCATTAGCTGGACCCTCATACACACTGAGGAGAGGAAGACAGATGCTCTGGATCACTCCGGCACCTGCCACTGCTGCCGCCCCCTACAGATCAGGAGGAACATCATCACAAACACTTCATGCACAACAGCACTGAGAAGTCAGAATCATTTTAGCTAATCAGGTATATCAGGTTCCCAAAAGTCCTATTGTGTCATTTTACGATACATTTTTGGAGTAAAATACACATTTAATTTGTTTATGATCTCAAATTGATGTCACCCATCTCACAGTTATACCCTTCCCAAAGTTTCATGTAATAAAATGTAATGAATTAAAATAAGAAAGATCTTATTTAGTTTTAGTTTATTTTAATGCTTATTTTGAAGACTCCCTGGTTGAGAACCACTGATTCAAAAGCAAGCTTCATCAGTGAGTCAGGCATCACTCATTAATGAAGGATAAAAGCATCGGTCTGTGGTTTGTAAAGCGGCTGAACTGTCAGATTTGTACCTGCGGTGTTCTCGCGAGTGTGAGCAGCAGATGAAGCGCTGCCTCGGTGAAGTAAAGGTTCTGTTTGGAACGCAGGCTCAGTTCTAGAGCGCTCAGAACCGACGGCAGAACTGGCAGCTTCCGGACCACCTGCAGCCACTGCTCACCATCCTCATCGGCACGACACAACTCTTTAGAGAGATGAAGAGCTAACACACACACCTGAGACAGAGAGAGACACCGGTTATGCTCTGAATAGAATACCTGCATACGATGTATACTATCATACTGCACAATATAGCACATTATATTCAAATCACTTGACTAGTATACTACATTATGTAAGGGTTAATGCCCGACAAGGTGTCCATTGTCAGGTTTTAATGGACGACGGCGAGGCGTGAGGTCTCATTCAGAGCAGCAGCGGTGTAATTTTCTTTGTGACGTTTCTCCGTTTTATTTACATTTTTTCTTTCTTCAGCAGCATCCCAGTCGTCAAAGTTGTCATATTCTCCATAAATGTTAAAAGAAATAACAAAGTCGCTCATTGTTGTATTAGTAGGCTATGTAATATCTAACTAACGTTAGATGTTTGTTTTGATAGAGCAAATTGTTAACGGATACTTTGACTGCCTGTTGCTATTGTTACTCACAGCTGTTGTGGGCAGCGCATTTATTTATTAATTTCGAATAGTAAACAGGCAATTTCACCAGAACCACTTTACTAGGTGTCCTCTATCACTTTTTAACGGACACCCTGCAGCCAATCAGAATCGAGTATTCACCCAGACCATGGTATAATGTCACATAATTTTACCACAATGAAATAAAATAAAGCAAATATAATTAATTAAAATGATAGTATTTAAATTTAGCAGGAAGCATTCAGGTATCTGCTACTTTGTGTTTTTAATCGGATTTCTTGTCTCAGAAAAAATGTTAAAACTGTTGCTGATATCAGGTCAAGTGAAGTGCATTGAGGGATAGAGTGTCAACAGCATATTTGTGCAGGTTATAAATAGAAACACAACACTTCTTAATACACTCACTGAGTCTCGCTGGTCTTTCTGGAAATGCGGGCTGTCTGTCTCCATGCTGTCCTCCTGAACGTCACCCCTCTGGATCATGTGACGTGTGCTGTCAATCAACGCCAGGGCTTCGTCCTGAACCATCTCACACATGCACAACAGCAGCTGGGGAAGCTGGGTAATCTCTCCTCCTGAACCAATTATTGTTAAACAATTTTTAACAAAACAAACAATATGCACACAGTCGATGGCTCTGTTCCAAACGCCAGTGAGCCGCCTACCTACACTATATTTTTAGACTGCATTGGTTCAGTGTTATTTTAGCATCATTGAGATACTATTATAGTTTTTATTTATTTATTTATTTTTATTGAAGGGGACGTGATCCAAACTAAAAAAAAATCCAATTACTCTTCAAATATTTTTTCCTGAAGATAATTTGTCTCATTTTAGGTAATTCTAATAATAATGATGTATGTTCAAATGTTCATTTTTTCCAAGAAGTTTGGTTTTAGTTACTTAATTGATGCTATAAAACCAGGGTGTAATGTCATGGTTGACAGCTGTGATTGCGATTGAATTTGCAGGACTATGGGCAGGACCTTAATACTGCGGCTCCACCTCAGGACCACTAATGGGCAGACTCTCTCATTGGGAACAACTGTTTCTGGGATATTTTGCCTTCATTTTTTTCTATAGTGGAAGGAAGTGGATATGATAAAAAATCTGACTTGGTTTTTGGAACAGAGCTTGGTTTTTCCAAACCAACATACAGACTGACCGTTGAGTCCTTGTATATGTAGAGCTAAGATGAGAGCTGACAGGAGTTTGGCTTTGGTTCGGTCCATGAGCTGTTGTTCAGCGTGCAGAACGCTCTCCATCATCAAAGACAAGGGCGTCAGTAGAGCTGGAGCAGACACCAACACACTGACAAAAAAACAACATCATGAGTTATCATGGAAAACAGGACTTTCCTGCCCTTTGAAATAAAAAGGTTTTACATATAATATTCATACTTTGCACGTGACGTCACAAGTACGGGCTGGCGGGCAAGAACGTCGTTCTCTAGCAACGAAACCCAGTAAACCAATCTAGGATCTTGCCAGGACGTTGCCAGTATTAATAAACAAAACTTGGTGTTTTGAGGTGTAAGCGACATGCCAGATAGTTCGCCAGTAGGTGGCGAGAACGCGTTCATCTGTACGTGACTTGATATATGATATGAGAAGATGAATACACGGAGAATGAATGACACGTTACTGTTGTACTGCGTCTACTTATTACTTACTCACAGTTACCTTGCATGCACAACTATTGTACACTTATTATTACTATACTACATTACAGCCGAACAGATTGCTAACAGGATTATACACATCGTTGATCTTGTCTGATGCTATGTGGAGTGGATAAGCAGGTAGGCTACAATGTTTGACATCCTGCAAGCCTTATATGATACAGTTGGCATACGTATTTATTTTGTACTACTTATCAAGCTGTCATTCACCGGCAGGCAGGGTGTACATATTCAGATGAAGACTACATCACAAGATCATGTCACTGTGTAACTTATAGCTGCAAACATTAGTAAACGGACCTTTGCTTTGACTATGAAGATATTCCTGTTTTTCAGCTCCCATACGACAGCGTTGTTAACCCATCCACTCTTCAAAAAAAGATAGCTATCTGTACTTTTGTAGGCTTTCATTTTTTGTGCGGTGTAAGGTGAAGGATTCTCTATAAGATATAACTTATGTAAATATCTCCAAACTCCAAGTCTGGTAGATATTTTAGTATCATTGATATTAGGGCTGCAACTAACAATTATTTTGATAATCGATTAATCGGACGATTATTTTTTCGGTTAATCGATTAATCAGATATATCCAATTAGATCTTTTGTTTATTATAACTAAATAAAACCCTAAATCGGGGTTGTGGCGAGCAGGACGAGGCCGAGGGACCTGAGAGATGCGAGACCGGTGCGTCTCACAGGTGTCGTTCATTATCACTCACGCCACTGGCCTCACGCCGCTCTCTCACCTCCCTCGGCCTCGTCCTGCTCGCCACAAGGGTATTTATGTGTAAAAGTGTACTATAAAAAGTGCAAAGGCCACACAGAGTTTTACTAATATCAATTGTTTTTAATGATAATTGCTGATGGAAAGTTGACAACCATGATTAATGTAGAAAAAAAAATAATGATATCCAACATATTATGTTTTAACAATTGTGTTAAAAGAAATTTACACAAACATGTAGTTCAGATGTGAAGATATAAACTAAAAACATCTCAAATATATAATTCATTTTAATTTTATTTAAAATTAATTGAATTATAAGGATGAATTGATAAAATAAATATAGAAAGACTAACAACAACCATGTGAACGTAAAGCTGAAGACAACCTGATGCTCAAGACAAAATACAAACAACCCAAGTCTCCCAGAAGTTCTGGGAGTCTCCCGCATATTGATAGCGGCTTGCTGATGCCCGCAAATTAGTTAAAACTCCTATTTTTTTGTCATTTATATTTTTCATTGTTCTGTTTGTTTAAATGTCTATATAGTTTTTATTCATAATTATTTCAGTTTTAAGTTAAGTAAAATAAGAAATGTTGCTTTGACAACTAGCTGAAATAAAAGTTTTTTTTAAATGTTATTTTATTTCAAGTAACACATTTTTTTTAATGGTTTTAGTTAACTATAGTAGCCCTGATTTACACGTCAACATCTATTTAAGATTCAGTAACTTGGCAGAATTGTTGCTATTCAATTTAAACATGAGGCTTTGAGCAAATCATTTACACTACATAAATCATGAAGAAAAACACACACCTTTTCCACTGTTTGAGGAGGATGAGGAGCAGTGTGACCATCATGGAGCCCAGACGGAGACAGAACACAGACTGAGACATCAGCAGCTGAAAGAGAGAGATGATCACACTATGCCAGGAGTGACCAATCCTGCTGCTGGAGGGCCACTGACCTCCAGTGTTCAACTCCAACCCCAATGAAACACCTGAACTAGCCAATTAAAGTCTTACTAGGTATACTAGAAACTTCAAGGCAGGTGTGTGGAGGCAAGTTAAAGCTAAACTCTGCTGGACAGCGTACCTCCAGGACTGAGTTTGGACAACCCTGTACTATGCTGATGTACGGGAGTCTGAGGTTTTTGTACTGATGCATTACAAGCGTGTATGTTTGTGACATAGCTATACATTTATAGCTCTAGGTCTTACGTTTTCTTAGTTAGCAGTAAGGTCAGGACTAAATCTTTAATAATTATAAGTGTCTTAATTTAAGAACATTAAAGTCCCTAATTAGATAGGTGGGAGCTTGTATTTATAAGGGAACTTACTGCTGCTTTGGTACCTTCCAAAACGTCCATGAAAAGCTTTTGCCTGACAGTGTCATCCTTCAGATGCATCACCTCAGACTACAAACACACACATACAAGATTGGTTATGATAAACACAGTACCAGCAGTATAACTGCACTCAGATAGTGAAGCATGTGAAGTTGAGTGTAGCTGCTCACATGACTGGTGGAGAGTATTAAAAACGTTCTCCAGGCAGAGATGAGCATCTGAGACTCAGACAGAGAGCGCAGACCCTCCTCTTCTCCATCACACGCCACAAACACCAGATCACGCACATAGTCTGACCAGAACTCATAGCGGCGCTTACTGCTGAAACTCTCTAGAGCCGCTTTCAGCGATGGATCCAACACGCCACTGAGAGAGACAGACAGATGGACAGCTGATGTGAAGCATTAAAGTGTGCAACTGTTTTGAGGTTTGCAAACATAAACATGATACAAATAAAAAACAGAGGAGTGTACACAGGATGTGTTCAGTCTAAAGGCTTGTTTTATTTATTATTTTAAAGCAGCTTTTTGGCTGGCTGTTTTTGAATGAAACAGATAATTCTGTTTGGATGAGCTTGTATATCATACCTGACAACATAGTAGATCTCAAGGGCGATTATCTTCATCACAAAGGCACAAGACTCCAGAACACATGGCTACACAAAAACAAACACAATGAAACAATCAGACTAGAAAAAAATACTTCGTTATCAAGAACTCAACTATTCATGTGGACACACCATACTGTTTTCATATAAAACTATTACTACTATCGGCTTGAACGAAAACTGGGTAATTACTGTAAGTTAATGAATAACTAACAAGGAGCAATTAATTTGTTATCATATTTTATTCATCTTTGTTATTCTTAGTTAATTAGTAAATGCTTTAGAAGTATTTTATTGTAACTACTAATGTTAACACAGGAAAAAAAAAACTCATGAGAGTGTCAAATGTCTTCAAGCTATTACCATTAACTATTTATGCAAACACGTACCTCGGTGGTCTCGGATGGGGGAGGTAAGTTTCCAAATAAAGGAGTTGTGAGGTTTTCCCAGAATTTTTCTCTGCAACAACAAATGATAACATGCTTGGTTTAATTTGACATTTTTACCAACTAAACCAAATGATGCTGGCTATCCTTGACCAATGCAAGTGGACATACATGCTTAAAATGATGTTGAAATAAAATGAACTGAAAAAAATTAACTCAAAATAAAAATGCTGAATCAAAAATCATTAAAACATTAAAAAAAAAAAAATATGAAAATCATTAAAACTATCCCCCTCCCCCTCAGTAACTGTTGCTTTTAATTGAAGAAAATACAGTTTTTTGAAACTTGTCAAATCACAAAATGAATAGTGGTTAATTAAATATACCATTACTCCTAGTTTCTATAAAAAAAAAAAAAAAAAATAAAAAGCAGCTTTGTCATAATTATGGAAGATGACTTCAAAAATTGAGTTGTACAACAAGAGATCTTAGAGTCAAAAAGGTTGCCCAACTGTGTTATGTGCAAGACACTCACTTGGTCCTGAGCACGGAGAGAGCGCTGTCCCGTCTGTCCTGCCAGAGCGCATGGAGGAAGGCCAGTGCCGCCCTCTGCAGGAGAGGAGGACACCAGTACTTCCCCTGCTGCTTAGAGTCCAACAACTCCAGCACCACCGACAAACAACTCCACGCTCCCAGAGAAAACTCCTACACACACGGAGAGAGACAAAACCAGACAGTCACACGCTGCTCAGACTCATTCAGCATCTCACACTAAATCTATGAGTAATTGTATCCCCTATGAGACCTTTGCCCCATCGCTGCCATCTTTGGCCTCCAGGTTGAGGAAGAGCTCAATGAGTCCGGGTTGCGTTTCCACAGCTACGGTGAGGAACTCAAGTATGGTGACTTTAATACGCATGTCTTCAGTTCTGCTCTGCAGTCGGGTCAAAAACGCATCCCGGATGGCAGCGGCGTCACTGCCCAGGCAAGCGTACACAGACATGGGAGCCACCTGTACACAACACACGCAAAGCACAAACACATGGTGACTGACTTCTATTGTTATTAAATTAAGATCACTATAATACAATTAAAATAGCAATTTAAATTACTATAAATATGAGATTAAACATATTTCATATAGTTGCCAAGGCAACATTTAGGAAGTTTCAATTTTGTAAATTACGTTTCTCATTTAATATTTACAAAGTTATTTTAGATTTATTTCAAAGTTTTAGGTAACTCTAACCCTAAAGTTACATTATTTAGTCCCTTTATGAAGCCGTTTTCCGCATGAGGACCACAATGAGGAGTCAGGAGCATTACCGTGGCAAGTCTCTTCAGCAGCTGTATAGCAAGTCGTGGCAGTGCTGGGTCATGCTTGTGGTAAATATACTTTGCCAACACCGCAATCAGGTTATTGCCATGACCACCTGTAAGAAAGACATAGCGGTTGCATGAAAATCTGGTGTTGGTAACAAAGCAATATTGGAAAAAGGTGAAATATTTATTATTGTGAGCAAACCCTGACAAGAGTCTGATGTTTCATATCAACCATGCACTGAAGTGTGTGTGCTAACCGTGATGTGTCAGAGCTTGCTCCAAAGGTGAGGCCGTATCAGACTGCGGTTTGAGTCTGATCACATTGTTGGTGACTGAGAACGCCAACTTCACTGTCTGGATCAGAACTTGACCAGGTCCCTCTGAACCACCACTGCAGACAGACACAAACTCATTGATTCATGTAAAGAGGATGTAGAGACTGAGCTTGTACTAAGGGCTGAATCAGTGTGTACCTGCTGGGCTGTGCTGCTAGCACCATGTTGATTGTGTCCACTCCCACACCCATGATGTTGACCACAGCCTGTCCTGCCTCTGTGTTGGCCAGACTAAAGATACACAACGACTGCAGACTGGGGGCACTGACATGTGAGAAAACATGTGACATGTGAGAACATATAATACCACCAAATGAAATAACTGATAATGACATCATTCTTATCCTCTTACCTGCCCTCGGACGCCCCCTCCTGACTCAGATTTAGAATAGCATGAACCAGCTCTAGAATCAAACATCCTGAGACAGGACAGTGAAGAGACAGACTGTAAAGCAAATACCAATAAACGTAGAATTTTTAAACAATAATGTTGTGCGAGTTACTCACCGATTGTCTCTCGCACGCCGTACGTGTTGTACCGCCATTTATGATAAGTAGGCAGCATTTCCTTCAGAACCAGTAGCACACATGGGATGAGTCCTCTGCTCTGAGTACTGCCCAACTGACCCTGAAAATACAAAAATCACAAGTTAACATCCACCACGGAAGTGGAGCTTCACTATTTGAGGGAAAAAAATATTTTTGCAATTTTTCTGTTAAACGTGATTGTGTTTTAAAATAGAGCCCGACCGATAAAGGATTCTGAAGGCTGATACCGATTCAAATATTTGTTGGTTTTAAAATCCGACATACCGATATATCGGCCGATATTTATTCATTTTTTATATATATTAACAGATTTCCCTAACATTAGTTATTTGTAGTTATTTATGAGTTTTAACTAAAATAATATGATAATGCATTTTAAAAAGAGACTTGTTTCTATTGTAACAACAGAACAGGGGAACATCAAAATATATTAAAGTTGTGATAAATAAAATAATAATTAGTCCCTACATTGCCTTATAAGCTACCTTATAATTACAATGTCAGCTTGCTTATCCATTTTAAATTCTTTCCATCAAGCTACAAACCATTTTCAATCATCAGTTGCTGATTGCCTTCTAAAACCTACTATTTAGCGATTCTAAATCCATTACAGAATGACAGTCTGCAACGCACACTTGGCGTCGTTGGATTTCACACACGTGTAAAAGAAATGTGTTGCGCATTATACACGAGTGTTGCCAACATTGTAGAGTGCCCTCTGGTGGACAAACTATACAACTCCAACACTCAAGACATGGTTGAAGCATGTTTCGTCCGTTTTTAATTTATTTTTGAAATATTAATTTATCGGCCATTATAACTGCCGATACCGATAGTTTGAAAAATGCCTAATATCTAATATTATGATAATAGATAAAATCGGCCTGCCGATAAATCGGTCAAGCTCTATTTTAAAATTTGGAAAAATGCTTCAGGTCAAAACTTGTTATATACCAGTGACTCAATTTTTTTATTATGCTTATTATTATTATATATATATAAAAAAAAACTTTGGCTGTCTTAATTTGTCAATTTTTTAATGTTGAACCATCAAGTTTTAATTTAGTTGGAAAACGCAGGTAGCCCTTAAAGGTTCTCTTTTGTTAACAAAAGCCAGTTTATAAGCATCAAATTTGGGAAGATGGGTGGTGCATGTTGTGTTTATAAATGCACATTACATTATCTGACCCAGACTCAGAGAAGATGTGAATGAAGTTACTGTGAACCAAACAGCTCCGAGACGGTGAAAACACCAGATTATGAGCTGCTTGTGTGTAAATGAACTCAGTGACACATCTACAATACAGTGTACCGATACTTGTTAATTTTTTTTTCACATTGTTGATAAATGCATTACCTTGACGAGTGTGGTCACCAGTCTTAAAAAGGCAATGGTTACACTGTACTCTCCTCTGGGCTGTTCTATCAACACCAGCAGGTTGCCATAATTACCCGCCTTCATGCCCTCTGCACTGAAACACAAACCCCAAACATGTTATTCTTCAGGTTTCTCTGACTTCAACAAGTGAATATGATGCTGTCCATGTTCAGCGGCTCTACATGCGTCTGTGTATCACCTCATGGTCTGTGCCATGTTAGTCAGAGGAGTGGAGGCGAACGGAAGAAAGCCGGTGTGATGCAGACTGGACCAAACCTGCATCAGAAAGAGTGGTTGTTTGGTCTGCAGTTCCTTGCTCTACATAACACAGACTTAGTTTTCATACAATGGTAAACTTTTACCTTCCCGGGCTGCCGAGCAGCCAGAGCAATAAGGCAGTTGACGCAAGAAGTAATCACATCTACTGGAGGGTTAATAACCGAGGTCAACCTGTCAGAATCAAACACATCCTGTTATTTTCATTGTTAATGTACTGTTTGGTTTGGTCTTCATGTTTATGTGTGCATTTCACCTCTGCAGAAGCATATAGATCCGTGATGTGAGCGGCAGCAGACAGTCAGAAACCGTCCAATCAGTGCTGATGATCTTATGAACCAGATCCAAGATAGGCTTTACTCTCTCACAGTGTGCCAGCACATCTATTCACCCCAGACAGATGTCAATAGCAGGTGAAAACAGGTCAATACTTTCAACAAAACAATATAGTTAAAAAAATAATATAAGATTTGAGGGCGTGTACCTGCAGTAGAGACAACATGCAGCAGCATCTCAATCTCACATGTGAAGAGAGTCCATGAGCTGTAGGAATATTCCCAGCGCACAAGGACGCTCTGTTCACCCACTGACAGCGGTTTTACTTCACACACCTGTCCGAAACATCCCTGAGGCATCCGCAGGTTGGTCTGCCCAACCCCTGAACATAAAGATAATACAAAAAAAAACATATCTATCAATCAAGTAAAGAGAAATCAGAAACGGACAGATTGAGTATGACTTTCTGTGCTCAGCACTAACCCAGAGGGTACAGGAGTTTGTGAGTCTGTCTCCTCCACAGAGTGCCATCCTCTCTGGAGATCACGTCGTTGGGTTTGTCCTTATAGGCTTCAGTGTAGAATGACATCTTATCTAAGAAGGTGTACACCTGAGAGACAGACCATGAAACGCCCAAGAAAATTAAAGCATGTATATGTGTGTACATCTATAAACACACACAAAGTGAGGGTAGTAACTGATTATATATGTAATCTTAATTACATAATCATATTCTGAATATTAAGCAGTTGTAATTAAAATATATTACATTTTAAAATGCTCATAATCAGATTAGTTACTTTTTTCTCACATGATTATGCAGGTAATAAAAGAAAGTGGGTTTTTATTTTTAAATGATTTATTGTTATTTATTTTTTCTATGATTGTTAGCTTTGGGATCAGGAGTGTCTTCACAAACCCCAGATGTAATGTTAAATGCACTTCATGTTGTTGATATACAACAGAAAGAAGAAAGAAGAAGAATATATAGAAAGAAATATACTTTTTCTCTTTGTATTTTTATATCAGTGTGATACAAAATGAAAGTGGCCAGATTATATATACATACAAAGATGAATTAGGGATTTTTTGAATTTCTACAAATAGTTGGTACCTTCTTAGCTGTAGATTTGTCAGACAGCAGTGCAGTGAGCAGCTGTAGTAAAGGTCCAGTCTTGTATGGAAACACGCCCACTGCACTGTCCAGAATCACACCCAAGCCCATGTTCGGCTTCTGTCGGGCACAACCAGAGGTCAAAGTTCAGGCCATGTGACAGAAAAAACAAGGTGGGTGTAGTACATCTGATTTTCATTCATACTACAATACTATGTATTCGTTCTATACAAATAGACCTTATTCAGAGCAGCACCATGACAGGTATGAAAGTGAGGCTGTGAGGTATAGACTTACCGTGTTTTCAATGGCATCCGCTGTAAAAAGCTGAATAAAGCTCCTAGATTACTTACAATTTTCCACAGCTTACGTTTTGTCAACTGACATTTCTTGGAAAGATATTTTTCCAGTGTTTCAAGAGCAGAACAATCCGAAAACACATTAAATAACAATAGAGCCCATTGAAGAGATGCAAGTCTATCCCTCACAGCCTCGCTTTCATTCTCATTAAAAATCAAAGATGGCGCTGCCGTGAATAAGGCGTATTCACTTTCACTTTCAACTGGCTTTATTTCCAGCATTTGTCAATGCGTCAATACACGTCTTGGGGGACATGGTGGTTTGGCACAGTCTCTATGTCTGTCTAGGCGTCTTACCAAATGGACATTGCAGTTTATTGCAGTTTATTGGCCACATCTGCAGTCCTCATGCCTCTTTTAATGATCGTGAAGTCAATTCAAATTCAAAAGTAGTAATAGATTTTAGACGCACCATCAGAAAAGAAAGAGAATATACAAATAGTGGAAATCTATTTAATGTGCATCAAATGTTTTGCTCACCGACTCCCAGAAAAGCTCAGCCAGACTCGGTGCAACAAGAACTTCACATGCTGCATTGATCAGGTGCTACAGACAGTATAATCACAATTAATTAATGAGTTGAACATATAAGTTAATAACTTATACCAGTTAAGGACTCTGTAAATGTGTATTTTTGCACCTGTTGGCTGCCGAGTGTGTCTTCTTCAAACGAGGTGATGACAAAAGACAGGAGACCATAAATACACATCCGTGCAGTGCTCGCCGTACACTAGAAAGAAAGAGACAGTGGGCAGCATGTTTAAGTCCATGTCACCATCTGAGAAAAGTTTTTTTTTAGCTAAGCAATTTGCTCCCATTACTCCAGTTGTTGTTCTACAGCTTCCTAGCATTTAAATGTAAATGAATCTAATCTACTTAAAATGGTAAATCAAGCTAACACAAAACAACCAAATTTAACTATAACTATTGTTATTATTGAAGATCTTGAAACTTCTGAAAAAAAAAATCGGGTTAATTTAATCATTATTTAATATCATCATTTAATATCAACACCCAAAGTTAATAAAAGTTTTTTTATTCTGTTAATAAAAGTTTGAAAATGAGCAGCTTTCTCATAATTATTACAGAATTACCAGAAATATCTCAGCCTATATGGGGACTTTCAGTATTGTACTGGAAAACACAGGACCTTCAAGTCAAAAGTTGAGAACCACTGGTCTAATGTTATTCAAGGGTTCCTGCAACAGTGATAGAAAGCTGTCCTTACATTATTTCCAGCATTGCCGAGCGCCTGCAGCGTGTTGGTGAGGTACTGGAAGACTCCCAGCTGAAGCGTAGTGTGACCTAGACGTCTGATCACAGAGCTGACTTCCTCTGGATGCAGTGTGTGTTGCAGCAGAACCCACGCCAACAGAACCGGCCCGTGGTGAGAGATGTCACCAAAAGTCAACAGCATCTGATCCATCTCCTGCACACACATAACAGCCAGTAATCACTAATTTTTTAAGCAAATCTCTAGATTTGGGATAAAACAAGGTTGTGGATTTAATAAGATTTCAGAGCAACAACTATCCACTTTTAAAAGGTAATTTCTTAATATAAATAAACATTGAAAAGTTTGGGGTAAGTACGATTCTTTAATTACTTTTCTTCAGCAAGGACATTAAACTGATCAAAGAGATACATTTACAATGTTACAAAATATTTCTATTTCAAATAAATGCTGTTCTTTTGAACTGTGTTCATCAAAGAATCCTGAAAAAATATATTTTTTTAAAATTGATAGTGATAAGAAATACTTCAACATAAACATTTCAGCATATTAGAATGACTTCTGAAGGATCATGTGACATAACTGACTTGGTGTAATGGCTGTTTTTACTGTATTTTTAATAAAAAATAAATGCAGCCTTGCTGAGCATAAGAGACATTTCAGAAGCATTAAACCTTTTTTTTTTTACATCTTTAAAAAGAAAATGGACCTCAAACTTTGGATCAAAAAACAACCACAATTAGTTGCTGTATCTGAACTGTCCCTGGTCAGGATTACCTTGCAAACATCCTGTTGGTCATAAAACTGATGCTGCTCGGTTCGGTCCTCCAGAGCACATTTATGCAGGAAGTCGATATCCATCCCCTCCACAAGAATCAAAGAACTAAAATACCTGTTGGGAGGATGACACAGTGAGTCAATATATTATAAAACTCTGTTTGCGAGTGTATGAGAGGAAAAGGAGCAGGTGACTGACCCAATGCGTTCAACCAGTGCATCCATGCTCTTGTCCACAAGGTGTCGATTAGTCTGCCGCAGTCCAAAGCCTTGCTCCTTAAACAGCCGTGTGAATGTGGAAAGGTCATTGGGCGGCATCTCGAAGTATGCATAATACAGGAACAAGATCTCCAGCAGAAGGGCCTGCTCCTTTAGACACTGCACAAACCAGCGGGACACCTGCCTCTCCGTCTACACAGAGAAGAGATGAGTCAAATTCTATACGAGTAATTAATTGTGATGCTGCTCTAAATATAATCAGAGTACCCATCTTCTTCTCACCATCAGGTTTCCATGCGTCTCCCATGTTGGAGCTTCTAATTTGGACAGCAACTCAAACTGCTTCCTGTAATTGGACACCAGATCTTTCTCCAGCTGACTAACACAGTTGGAGTACTCTGCCTAAAGTGAGAAAGAGGAAGAATTTAATTCATCTGGTCTTCTGACTGTCTGACACATCAGCTGATCTCTGCTGCTATTATTTACCCTGTATGGATGTCTCTCATCCTGGAAGTATGTTAGGAGGTGGAGAACGCAGCGCAGAACACACAATCTCTCTTCATAGTAGTAATCTGCTATCTGTGTAACACAATTACAACATCAGCATCATATTTCTATAGTCATTTTGTGCTTTTAAGCAACCATATTTTGTCTCAACAAGTACTCAAATACAAAGTGATTTGACAGATTCAGATTATTTTTATTTACTGCCATGTCAGCAATCAAAGCTATTTTCATGGCAAAAAAATTATAAAAAATTATAAAAAATTACAAATATCATATAAATACAATTAAAAAAAAATAATATGTATGTGTATGTATGTATATATATATATATATATATATATATATATACATACATATACACACATATATATATATACACATCCGGTCATATTATATAACATATTTTTGTCTACCTTCAGAAGCAGAGCTTGACTCTGTCTCTCATCTTGCAGCACCGCCTAATGGCAACAAAAGAGGATTACAATTTATTCAAAAGCTCTCACCATGTACTGTACGTGTGAACACATCAGATGTACGTGTGTGTGCCATTTGAGGCCGGGCTCACCTTGAGTGTGTTTCGTGTGCCTCTGTAGTCCTCCTGAAGGTAACATTGAAAAATCTGCACGCTCTGCTGTTCATCCAAACCCTTACATGATAAACACACATTTATCCATTCCTGAAGTCTCAATCCAGCCAGATTTACCATGTCATTATGTATGAATCAAATAATGAGAATGCAATCCATTTCAAAACTTAGTAAGACATCATCCTAGAAAGCATTTTGGGGATTGAAAAGCATAAAAACATGCATAACATATTATAACCAATAAATCTGCTAACTCAGAACTTTTGCATTTAATGTTGTGGTCTAAGAAGGCATTTAAAACAAAGCCAATGTTGCCAGACACTTACGAGAAGTTTGCTGATCCTGAGTCCAAAGTCTTTGAGAGCTTGTGCTGTGTTTTTATCTGCTTTCAGCTTGTCTGCGGCCGACGTGCTGCACATAACATTTCATGACTTTATATCAAAAGTAAGAAGACAAATTTCCTGAGGCATGCTTACTTGCACTAATTTTCATTAAACAAATGATTCCTGAAAGGTCTGTTTATATGAACCCTAAACTTTGCAATCTGGTTCCCATATTTGTTTACATGTTCATAATATGAATTTCAAACAAATCTTCTTTTCTTCACATATGCAGTGCCCAGTCACCACGTTCAGAAACCGAGAACAGAGCAATAATGTCACCAGAGCGACCAGAAGTATAATTGTCATTTTGGTTCTAATGACATATCCAAAACCTTTTTAATATAATGTCAAATAATAACACATGTGAGCAAGATATATTCTATTTTCATTTAAATAAGTTCGATTCAAGACGCTTTTTCCCCCTGTTGATTTGATTGTTTCGGGGCTACACCACTCCTTTCAATATGATTGACATTTCATTCAGATTGAGATCAATCAGATCAATTTACTCAAAGGCTTTACGGTCCAATTGATTACAAACTGATTATTTGATTGTATGCAAATATAGCTATTGATACTTTCAAGAGGTAGAACATCATGGAATCAAGCCAATCTCATTTTGTCAAAGTTATTTATTTCCAGGATTTTTTGTTACCTGGGTGGTTTGTAGAAGGACAGACCCTGCAGAAGTCTCTCCCAGTTCCGATTCAATTCAGCTTCAATTTGGCCCTGTCAGATCATACAAATAAAATCACATTTCACAAATGATGGAGAGACAAAAACTCTATAAGATACATTATACAAGTATATCTGGTCAGATCTGTACCTTCTTGGATTAAAACAGCATTATTAATAGCTTTTTCTCACAAAATTATCAATAATTAAATATCATTGAACAAACACATATTTTTAATACAAATATGTGAAATTAGTGTAATTAAATGACAGAACAACATCAGAAATAATTGGTTTGTGTACCAACCGGTTCTCGGAGTGCAGATCTCCCCAGCAAGATAGTCCATAACTCTCGGCTGCTCCTAAATAAGTTTTTTAAATGTGCCATTGTTAATAAACTGGATGGAGGGAATTTTTTTTCTTCTGCTTATGCTGTGCAATACGACAGAGATTCTTGCAGAACTGATAATATAACGTTTTAGCATTGTGTCATTATGATGTTTATAGGTCCATAGCATACAGTATATAAATGTATGGGTAGTTCACTTCACACACACACAGACACACACATAAAAATAACATCAAAACAATTTAAATATTCATGACAAATCGTGCAACTGTCATCACAATTTTGTAAGAACTGAATTATAACTCGTCACAACAGCTCTTAAAATTGAATGTCAATATTCCATTTTATCCCATATATATATATATATATATATATATGGTTACATCCTACATTTAGATTAGACAGTAAAAGACTTTTAAGATCGTACACAAGATACACGATGAAACTCATTCATCACTTCAAACTAACGTTACCGCCAAAGTCAAAACAAACGGAACATTTTCACAAATAATCAATATGAATATCTTTATTTTATTTAATGTTTGAGAAGTTCCGGGCTTAATAAAAGCCTTTAACTGTTCAAGTTAACATTTGAATTTCAATAGCGCGCGTCTGCCAGCCAACGCACGCGACAGACTCGTGTTTGCCGTTAAATGTCAAATAAATAGCTCGTCGAAATTCTATTTCCCACGCATATTATGGCTACATATGACATATTAAATATCGACACATTCTCCATCTACAAATTTCGCTCTAGCTCTTTGAGAACAACACTAGTTAGTTTCTCTTTCTTCCATTTTACCTGACACACATCTCCGAGTCCGCCATCTTCACCCCAATCACGTGACTAACACTAACGCGCACCTCTCGATCACATGACTTGATTAAATCCTAAAAATACATATATACTCATAAAATACTTATGTAAACATATATCCATTTAAATTAAAGATAGTAAAACATGTTATCTTCTTTAAAAAAAAACTTGACTAAAAGATTGTTTTTACATAGGTCACATGATTCTTCTGACACCACGTGACCCAGTTGATGGCTGCTGGCTCCCACCGTCAGTCAGTGAGCAGCTGATCTTACAAAGCACGAGTCACAGTAACACATAAGGAATACAGTCTTTTGTTCAAGAGGAAAGCGTTGAATCACAGAGAAATAGGTAAGTTGAGGCGTCGTTTGGTGTAAAAGGATGTTTCTGCGTTTATTTACTATGCAGGGTGTTTAATGAAAAGCTGGTGTTGCAGTGAATGAGATGTCAGTGTCATTTCTGCCGTAGAGACTAACACACCACTCTCTCTAACTGTAAATAAACACTGTAAAACCGTTTGGAATAACAGCACTGCTGTTGGATTAGTGTTTTCATATTTAATGTTAAGACTGACAATAATTCCTACAAATGTGTATAACACATTAAATTGCACAATATGCATGCATAAGCTAATGTTCTGCTGATATATCAGACGCATGTAATGCATTTTATAAGCACCCAGAAAAGATTGCATTGAACAAAGATGTGGTAAAATATGTCATTTATAATAAATTATATTCTTGGTACTTATAAAATACATGTTATTTACGGATTTCTATAATTATTTATTATTTTTTAAATGTTTTTTTCCTGGATACTCATAACACATCTAATTTATATTATTGTGTATTTCATACATTATTTTTTTCTCTAAACATTTTAAACACTAATATTTTAAATTAAAGTACAGTGAATGATACACTATTATCCATATATTATTAATCACTGTAATGCCAGAGCACCCAGCCATTAAAACCAGATCATTTTACTTTTGCAGACAAAGTGATGCTGTCTTTCATAATTTACCATGTTTAGAAATAGCTGCTGTTGGGCGTTCAACAGTGCTAAAGTTCACAGTGTCTAGAGTTCAAATGCCAGTGAGAAATGTGCCACCCTCCTTTAGTTTCGTAGTGAGAGAATATAAACTTCAGCATTCTGGGGCGTCATGGGGATGATTTATTTTAATATGTCCATTATATTTTATTTTTTGCCCTTTCAGACTCTATTTATTGATTTAGAATTGTGTATTGTTTTTTATGCAGTGGGGGAGTGAAATTTAAGAAATTACAGTATAAAAAGTGCTAAATAAAACAGTTTGTTCAGTTCAGTGCTGTTGTTATAATTGTCAAAAACAGAAATAAAACAATAAATAAATATCGGTTCTATATATCGGTTATCGGGCACATAAACATGCAAATAATTGGTATCTTTATAAAAATCGATTGATCTCTATGGTGTCCAAAAAATTGTCTTGGTAAGTTGCCATCACATTGAACATCTCTCATCACATTGAGTAAAATAATTTATTTATTTCAGAATTTTTACCATTATATTGAGTAATGACTTTACTAGTAAAGTAATGAGAAAAAAAAACAGTGTTTAGTGAAAGTATCAGATGTTAATACCATAGTACTGTCTTTGACATATACTAAACGATTACCATATTTCATACTCCGAAATTACTTGAAAAATACTATGCCATTACTATGATATATATATGTGAAAATCATGATAGTGCATGTTTAAAAATATATTCATATTCCAAAAAAGTACCTTTGTGTAGGGGTGTGTGTGTGTGTGGAGAAAAATTATACAAGTGAGAGAAATGTTTTATTATGATATATATTTGAATATAGATATATATGATATATTACTATGATGTATGTGTGAAAATGATAATAGTGCATGTTTAAAAATATATTCAAATTAATCATTTACCATGTCCAAAAAAGTTCTTTTTGTGTGTGTGTGTGTTAAGTGAGAGAAATGTTTTATTAAATTTGATTAATTTGAGTTTATTATGTGTTTTTTGTGCTTAAAGTGAGAGAAAACATATTATTGAATAAAAAATATTCTAGAATTTTTAAATTTGTCAAGTTTATGGTTTGTGTCTAAAGCCCATTTCACACAGCGCGTTGATCCCGGGAAATTGCCAGATTGCCTTCTTCTGTGTGAACGCAAACACCACCCGGGATTGATACCGGCATCGATCCCGGGTTGGGGACCTAGTAACATTGTCGGAATCAGTCCTGTAACGCGCGCTGTGTGAACAAAAGCCAGGACCAATGCCGTAAGGGGTGTGTCACAGTGATGACGCTCGTGCCATCGCGCGACTCTGTTGCTCTTAGAAAGAAAGTTTGTGTTCGTCATCTACAAAGAAAGGACTAACAAATACCTGCAAACTGGAGTGAAGCAGAGACCAGAAGCTCCTCACTATCCGCGGGGAAGCGGAGAACGTGTACATGTTTTCGACGCGTACGTTATACGTCTCATCCTGATGTCATGTGTCTTCCCGGGATTTTTACGGGTTGTGTGTGAGCGCACTCACAGATCCCGCCAAATCACTGGCAGTATGAATGAACCAAAATCAATCAATCCCGGGACAAAGGCCAGGTCACATTATCTGTGTATTTTCTGGAATCTCTGTGTGAAAGGGGCTTAAATGATATTTTGACGTTTGTTTGTTTTTATTTTACCCAGGTCTAATTTGGCGTGTGCAGGAGCCCAAGAAGTGGACGATGTTTGTGTGTGAACCTGGAAGTTTCTGACAGACTACCACATTTGAAGTCCCTCATTCTTGTAAACCTTTGCCACACACCCGCGATCATGCAGATGGATCCCGTGTTGGTTGAATCCGCTGTGGTGTTTGCTATGGTGATTTCCGTTCACATGGCCGTGTGGAATCAGCTGTCCTGGTGTTGCATCGCTCTGGCGGTCCAGGCTTTCTATGTTCAGCACAAATGGGATCGCCTGCTTCGGACCGGCGCCGCAGTGTTCCAGTTTCGACCTTCGGCCAACAGTGGCGTCTTACCGGCCAGCATGGTGATGCCTCTGCTGGGTCTCGCTTTGAGGGGGCGCTGCGTCATCGTGGGAAACGTTTACATGGAGCGCTTCGCCATGGTCATAACAGTGATAGGCATGATGTTGGCTCTGTTCCTGTCTCTCATCGCACTAGGAATCACACGCCCGGTGCCCACAAACACCTGCGTTATAGCCGGCATCGCCAGCAGCGCCATTCTGTACACCGTGAAGCAAACGCTGACGGTGTCCGAGGTGATTGAAGTCTTGGAGGTGCTGCTGATTTTTGTGTACGTGAGCTTGATCCTGTTGTACCTGCTCCCACGCTGCTTCACTCCCGGCGAGGCCCTCCTCATCCTCGGCGGGATTAGTTTCATCATCAACCAGCTCATTAAGCGTTCTCTGGTCTCGTCCGGTAACGCAAACTCCGACCCCCTTCCGTATTTCCTCCCGGTCGCCGTGTTAGGTTTGGTGCTGTTGGGAATCTTCTTCACGGTGCTCTTCGTATTCATGGAATCGGAAACCTGGTCGGCGTCGCTTTTCTTCCACACCATGACTGTGGTTTTGGGCTTGGGCTTGTTGGTTCCTTGGCTCTCCCTGCTCACGCAGCATCACCCCATCACCTGGCTGATGCATTTCATCACTGAGAGCAGGACCCGCCTTTGGCTCATTGGATTCTGGGCTTCACTTTTGCTTCTAGCAATCGCCGTTGTGATGCATCAAAATAGCCATCGCTCGGGCGGGAGTAAGAAGCACCAGGCGTCCACGACCGTGCGGAAATATTTCCACCTCCTCACCGTGTTAACCTTCGCACCCGGACTCGCGCTAGACCGCCCTCTGCTCCACTTGTCCGCGGTCGCGTGCCTCTCAGCGCTTTTGTTCCTGGAATTCGTCCGCTATTTCCGCATCCGACCTTTCGGGCCTCTGCTGAGATCCCTTCTCACTTTATTCCTGGACGAGAGAGACTCTGGACCGCTCATTTTCACTCACATATACCTTCTCCTCGGCGTCGCCCTTCCCATCTGGCTGTCCCCTGGGACCTGCACCCCTAAAGGAGGCCTTGGGGGCGCCGGTGGCCTGGTGCCCTATGCCGGAGTACTGGCCGTTGGAGTCGGCGACACCGTGGCGTCCGTCTTCGGCAGCTCGGTCGGCGAGATCCGCTGGCCCGGCACTAAGAAGACCTTCGAGGGCACCGCGACCTCAGTGTTCGCTCAGATCATCGCAGTGGTGGTTTTCCTCATCGCCGACAGCAGTATAAACCTGAACGCCAGCTACTCGTGGGTGGTGGGCTCGATCACCATGGTGGCCATGTTGGAGGCGTACACGTCACAGATAGACAACCTGCTGCTTCCTCTGTACCTATACATCCTACTGCTGCTATGAGATTATGCCAACGCACAGATATTAAAGGGATACTCCACTTTTTTTGGAAATAGGCTCATTTTACCACTCCTCTGGAGTTAAACAGTTGGGTTTTACCGTTTTCGCATCCATTCAGCCGATTTAGAATATTTAGAAGAATATCAGTAAGCAGACAGTTTCTGGTCTCATTGACTTCCATAGTAGGAAAAACATATACTGTGGAAGTCAATGAGACCAGAAGCTGTCTGGTTACTGATATTCTTCTAAAAATCAGAAAAAATGGCTGAATACATTCGAAAACGGTAAAACCCAACTGTTTAACTCTGGGGGAGTGGTAAAATGAGCCTATTTCCAAAAAAAAGTGGAGTATCCCTTTAAAGGGATAGTTCACTCAAAAATGAAAGATGTCATCATTTACTCACCCTTATGTTGTTCCAAACCTGTATGAGTTTCTGTCCTCTGAACACAAAAGAAGATATTTGGAAGAATGACGGACGGTTGATTGACCCCGTCGACTTCGACTATGCAAGTCAATGGTTACCGTCAACTAGTTACCGACATTCTGCAGAATCAGTAGACAGAAACTCATACAGGTTTAGAACAACATGGGAGTGAGTAAATGGTTGAACTGTCCCTTTTAACAGCCTTTAATTCATATGGTACGCTACAGCCCTA